CCGCACGGGAGCGCGATTTTTCTTCAAAACAAGACGACCTTGAGCGGAGCATTTTGGTATAGAATTGGTATAGGATCCATCCCGTAAACGAGCAAATTTTGAACGACGATGCCGACGACTCCTATACCAATCCTAACCGGAAAGCTCCGCCAAGCACCCTTCCCTCTTGAGCCCGGAAAGCCACCTCGAACGACGTTCGTTTGGTATAGGATTGGTATAGAAATCCTCAACATCATCGTTCACAAATGATCAAAATTTTCCAAATGCTCCGCACGGGAGCGCAATTTTGACCGATCTGGATGAAGATGAATTGATGAAATTTCGAGGATGTCCCGAGCGGGAGCGCGATTTTTGAAGATACGAAGGTGATCAAAACTTTTAAAATCGAACTGTCTCGCGCAGGAGCGCAATCTTTGAATATTTATGAAGTCCGAAAAACGCGAAATTTTGAGGATGTCTCGCGCGGGAGCGCGGTTTTCAAAAATCGGAGACGCGACCGGTTCGGTAGCGACCCCATCTACGAAGAACACTTTAAAGGCGAGGCCTTGCATTTTTTTGATCGAAAATCGATATAAAGCGCCGATTTTTTGAGGATGTCTCGAGCGAGAGCGCGATCTTTAAGCGAACAAGAGCGCGTCCCCTTCGGTAACGACCCCCCCTACGAAGAACAGTTTAAAGGCGAGGCCTTGTATTTTGACGGAAAATCGATACAAAATGCAGATTTTTGAGGATGTCTCGAGCGAGAGCGCGATCTTTAAGCGAACAAGAGCGCGTCCCAAATGTTTGCGCGACGGAAGAGCACGCAGATGTCGGCGGGCGACAGCGCATCAAGAACTAGAACCCCACAGTGAATGTGGGAATAAGAAAACGGTATCATTTACTATATACCCGTATTATGGTAATCCAATTGTAGTTCGTTAAAAGCAACCCAGGCATGCTCTCAATTCTGGAGGTTATGGCTCTGCTCACAAGCACGCCCCGGCAGGGTGAGAGGTACCTGACACATGAGGTGACCATTATCGGAACTTTGATGCTATCAACAGCGATCTGCATTGCCCTGACTTTGCTTACCATTCAGAACCTCTTGCTCGAGCACAGTGCCTCAACAAAGATCATGGAGATGAAAACGAATTGACCTCAGAGTTGCCACCAATGCATTAAAAAGTGGGGCGACAGTGCGTAATGAAAATAATTCATGATGGATGAAAATCGCGAGCGTGCTTAGTTCAAACGTCATCTTCTTCGGAGGATTGTCCAGATGCACCGATGCCACTATCGCCACCATTAGCACAACCACTACCACGAATTTCCCCTACCCGTACCATTACAATGACGACTATTACCACTACTATTACCACCACAACACCTGCACCTGCACCTCCTACTACTACCACTACCACTACCACTACCACTACCATTAGAAGTAGTTCCACTACTACTACCACTACTACTACTACTACTACTATTACTATTACTATTACTATTACTATTACTGTTACTATTACTATTTATACTATTATTATTTCTGCTACTACTACTACTCCTGCTGCTGCTGCTGCTTCTAGTACTACTGCTACTATTGTTGCGAGAACTACTACAACAACTACAACTAGAGCTACCTCTACAACAACAAGCACTACCACTACTACTACTATAACTACTACTACTACTACTACTACTACCCTACGGGCGTGTTTTCTGTCCGCATTT